CTGCCAACAGCTCGCGTCGAGTAACACAGTAATTTCTCTCTGGTTTCGATAGAGTTTTACTAAAGTATCCAATAACTTTCTCTTTTCCCTCTTGAATCTGCGACAAAACAGCTCCCAGTCCAACATTGCTGGCGTCCGTGTCCAAAATAAATTCACCATCCGGAAGAGGATAACTCAGGACTGGTGAGCTGGTCAACGCGTTTTTCAGGTTCTTAAAGGCTTCTTGGCATTCTTCGTCCCATTGAAATCGTCTTTCTCCCTCTGTTAAACGTGTCAAAGGCTTAGCAACCTTTGCGAATCCAGGTACGTACCACCGGTAGTAGGTGCATAATCCAAGAAAGCTTCTTAAGTCATGTTTGTTTTTCGGTACTGGCCATTCCCGCACCGTCTTCACCTTCTGTTTATCCACTGCAACTCCTTGACTTGAAACGACATGGCCCAGATACTGCACTTCCTTCTGGAACAAGTGACATTTCTTTGGGCTAAGCTTCAGGCCAGAACTTCTTAAGCGATGAAAGACTTCCTTCAGGTTCCTCATATGGTCCTCAAATGATTTCCCAACCACAATGATGTCATCAAGGTACACCAAGCATGTCTTCCAGGATAGTCCCTTCAAAACCATTTCCATGAGCCTTTCAAAAGTTGCAGGGGCATTACATAGTCCAAACGGCATGACAGTAAACTGCCACAGTCCAGCACCCACGGTAAACGCCGTCTTTTCTCTATCTTCTGGTGCCATTTCAACCTGCCAGTAACCGCTTTTCAAATCCAGAGTCGAAAATATTTGCGATCCAGCCAATGTATCCAGGGTGTCATCGATCCTAGGTAGAGGGTAGCTGTCCTTCTTCGTCACGTTGTTCAGCTGACGAAAATCGACGCAAAATCGAGTTGATCCATCCTTTTTCTTAACTAACACCACTGGGGAAGACCATGGGCTGTTGGATGGTTCGATCACCCCTTCCTTCTCCATTTCTTGCACAATTTTATCAGCTTCCTCTCGCTTGGCAAGTGGTAGCCTTCTTGCCGACTGTCGAATGGGCTGTGCATCACCGGTGTTAATTTTATGCTGTACAGTTCTTGTCCTACCCTTCTTTCCTTGTCCATCATCAAAGACGTCCTGATAGTTGTGTATCAGATCTCTCAGCTTTATTCTCTCATTTGGTTTTAAGTCCTTTGAAGAAGTCGAAAGCAGAGTCGTCAATTCATTGCTAATTTTCTTGGCCGGAACTCCAGACTCACGAATGCTTCTAATAATTGAGGAAACAGGAGAACAGTTCCCCAAAACGATTCCTTTTTTTAAGTTCACAGAGTAACCATTAACATTCAATACTCTTACAGGCACTTCTTTTCCGACACGTATTAAAGTCTTCCCTACTACAACTCCTCGACCGACCTCTTTGTCATCAATTCTCGGCTCCAGAAGCATTATACTTCCATCTTCTGATTTACAATCCAAGGAAGCCTTCAATATCATCTCGCTGTGTTCCGGTATCAAAGCATCTTCTGTTAGCATCACACGAATATTCTTTTCTTTTGATCGATGCAACACGACTTCTTCTCCATTTACTCTCAATATTCCTTGTTGAAAGTTTAGTTCAAATCCTATAGAGTTCATAATGTCCATGCCTACAATAACTTTATCTTCAATATCTGCTACTAATGCTCGATGTTTAAATTTCGTGTTTCCTATGACCATCGTGATGTCCACTTCTCCATGAACAGTAGCAGTATCTCCTGTTGCAGTACGTAGTCGCCGATTGGTAGATTTTATCTTCGACTTTTCGACAATATCTGGCCGAATAATTGTCTTCGTCGCACCTGTATCCAGCAGCAGCACATGTAACTTTCCATTAATAAAGCCATCCACAAAAACACTGCTGGACTGATGTAGAAGAGATGCGACACGTTCGATATCCTCTGGGGCATGTTGGTTACAGGTCCACGGTTGCCTCTTTTCCTCGACCCTATCTAGTTTTCCGACTGAGACGAAGTCGGCACTGCCTGACTTTCTCTGCAACGACTTCGTATATGTCCTAGCTTTCCACATCTCCAACATCGGATTTCCTTCTTTTCTGGTAGATTCTCTTTAAGAACTCGCCTGATTTCTTCGATTATACTGGGTTCCTCCTCTTTTTCTTCCTCGACTCTCCTAATTCTATGCTGGCTCCTGCAGCTCTGCTTTGCCGCCTCGAATTCCAAAGCTCGGGCCAATGCATCAACCAGTTGGCTCGGACGAGCCAACGTCAGAGCCTGCCTTGTTTCGTTGTCCCGAAGTCCATCCAAAAAGGCTTGAACCGCTAATCGTTCCATAACGGTCGTTGGAGTAGCTGGATATGCTAGCCGAACCAAGCGTGCAATATCAGCCTCGAATTCTTGTAAAGTCTCGTTTGATTTCTGGCAGCGATTCTTCAGTTGGGAATGGTACACATGTTCCAGATGTGTCTGGCCATATCGAAGTTCTAGATGTTTCACCAACGCTTCGTAATCTTCTTGTTCGTTGGGAGAAAGCGTCTGCAAGATGTCCGTTGCATCTCCGCGTAAAGCCAGAGTCAATGCTGTAGCTTTCTCTTCTGGAAGCCAGCCATTTGCTTTTGCTGTTGCCTCAAACTGACGGATGTAGTTGGTCCAAGAAGTTTTTCCATCGAACTGAGGTGGTTTCATCCGAACTCGGCTCCCCTCCAGCATTGTTCCTGGTTCCGCCAGCATCATGGGTAGATTTACAGCTGTCAGTTTACTATTTATTTCTCTTATTTTATCTTCCAATTTCTCATTCAATTTTTCCTCTCTTGAATCCAATTCCTTCCTTACGTCATTCAATTCCATCCGTACGTCCTCTTTTAATTCATTGACATTATCTAGAATCTTCTGTTCCAAATATTCCTTTAAATTTTTAGAATTTTCCAGAATTTTCTGCTGCAGTTCGTTAGAATTTTCCAGCATTTTCTGTTGTAAATCGACTTTTAAATCGCTAGAGTTTTCTACCATTTTCTGTTGCAAATCATCCTTTAAATCGTTGACATTTTCCCTCTGTTAAACGTGTCAAAGGCTTAGCAACCTTTGCGAATCCAGGTACGTACCGCCGGTAGTAGGTGCATAATCCAAGAAAGCTTCTTAAGTCATGTTTGTTTTTCGGTACTGGCCATTCCCGCACCGTCTTCACCTTCTGTTCCAACGCTTCTCGAAGCCGCTGCTGCAACACATTCTTTTTTCCAGTTGTTTCACATTCCCTTTCTTCTAGCTCCCGCTTAAGGTCCACCACTCTTAAGTCCATTAACGAAACCATTTTTACGAAAATTCACACTAATCCCACTTCTGACACCAATTGTAACGTTTTTAACTGTTCGTAGTGTGAATAAAAACACGCACTGGTTAATTAACGAACTAAACTATTTATTTAATAACTTAACTACACTTAAAACACTATAAAACTAACTAAACACTTAACTACTAATTATTTATATATCACTACTGTTCAAGAGTCTATTTATTTGCACTTATATTTATTTATTTCGACGCGAGTACTAAAACTTAACTGACTGCTCTGTGAAGCGCCGTTCCTTATATATTACAGCGCGTACGTCTTCTGGAACATTCCAGCGAGCTCCACACTCTCGATTATTCTAGCGCTGAGTCACCGGCGATGACTCATCGGCGATGAGTCATCATTCCGAGATCCAGAGCCGAACTCGCTACAATACTATAATAATATAATAATATAATAAATTAGCTACAATTTTTTTTATAAAAACAGTTTTGTGATTTGCCCCGTCCATCCGCTTGAAATGGCCGTTTATTCTGTGTGTCTAGTGTTTATTATTGGTCTCGTTTGGGTTTGCCTTACGCATTTGTTGTTGACAGATTTATTGTCCTACGCAGTGTGCCTTTCTTAGAGTTTTAAAGATATCTGTCGTGTTCAATTTGCAGATTATGTGTTAGGTCATTCATATGCTTAAGGTTACTTATCTTGTTTGACCTCATTTGTTTGTTCAGTGAAAAGCGTCCAATGACAGGTGACACTTAACTCATTCATCACTTAACACTTCACTCCTCATTGACCGTTGCACCATTTTAGTTTGCACTCCATGAAAATTGTTTGTTTCACTATAATTGGTTTGCACATTTTAAAAATTATTGTTGGTTTTAATTTTTAAACTTTTACGTTTTAAGACCTCTCGCTCTCGCGTGGTGCCTTTTCAAGTGCTGGAACCTGACTGCTGGTACTAATTAGAATAGTGGAATTTAATTTTAGGGGAGGCTTTTATACTCTTGTTCATCGGGCGATTTCTTGCCTCCAGTAACTGGAGTCCAGTTTCATATGATTCAAACGCGTCTTTTTAGATTTCAGAGAATTTACGATTGTACAAGAAGTCATCGTAGAACTGACTCATAGAATTAAATATTTCCATTAAATGTCATTAAATCGCTGTTTCTAGTCGAGACGGCAAGCTTGGCTTTTGACGACATATTAATAGGTTAAATAAAACTTTTTATTTAACCTCATCGCGAAATTTATCAATGCATTTTGGATAAATTTGTAACCTTGGGAAAGAGCTTTAACGGCATCTTCGCGACCTGACTAACGATTATCACTAAATTGACATCGCCCGGGAAATTTAAATGTGATTAACTCATGAGAAAGTCCATGCCTTGAAATCTTTAAGTTTTTTATTTTAATCAGATTAAAAAACAAATGAAAAATTTTGTTTTTGATTTTCATTGGTGAAGGCCTTGGACTGGTGGAGGCCCTGGGCCCCTGGCCCCATCTTAAATGTGGTCCTGTGTGTAAGTGGAATTACATCTCATTTAACTATTTTTTGGTACACATATTCCAAACGCCATAACTTTTTAAAACAAGTTATGATCATTACAATTAAAGTGGTATCTTTTAAAACCACAATTTTAAGTTTCCTAATAATACCTAATACATAGAACTTAATGTAAATAGCTTCGTAGTTGTTAGTAAGTCGCTCCCAAGTTGTATTTTTATTTTATATTTATAGGCGAGAAGTAAGAGCACTAATGAAAACTTCTATTATAAGAGGCATGCTTATGTCTTTTATTATGTTTACTGCTAGAACTGCTACATATTTGTCAGCTTGGGGATATGTTTATGTTCTTGATAAAAAAATAACAGCTGATAAAGTATTTATAATTACTACATACTACCAAATTTTGCGTCAAACTATTACTGTGAACTTTCCTCAAGGTATAGGAGGGGTAAGGTATAGTTTTTCTATGAAATAAATTGTAAATACTTATGAATTTTTAGTTGGCTGAGTCTTTGGTTTCTATCGAGCGTATTAGACAATACATGCTTATACCAGAATCAGAAAAAGGCGATCCATCAATAGTTGATCCAGATTTAATAAACTTTCCAAAAGAAAAAAGAGATTCCGTGGAAGTCGAGGATCCAAAGATTGAAATAGACAGCGGCTACGCTAAATACGGAGAAGTAATTTGTTTAGAGGACATAACTCTTACAATGCTTCCTGGAATAACTGTGATAATTGGGCCGGTTGGTTCAGGAAAAACATGCATTATAAATTTAGTTTTGAATGAATTAATGCTTTATAGTGGTAGCATATACGTTTCTGGTAAAGTTTCTTATGCCTCACAAGTACCCTGGTTGTTTGCTGCTTCTGTAAGACAGAATATCGTTTTTGGAAAAGAATTCGAAAAATTTAAATACTATGAAGTAGTTAAAGCTTGCTCTTTGTTAAGAGATTTTCAGCTTTTGCCATACGGCGATCAAACCATAATAGGAGAACGTGGTGTATCTTTAAGTGGTGGTCAAAGAGCCAGAGTTAACCTAGCAAGAGCTGTATACACAGATGCAGACATATACTTATTAGATGACCCACTTTCAGCTGTAGATACTCAAGTAGGACAAGCACTAGTTGACGAATGTTTAATGACATATCTTAAGGGAAAAGTTGTCGTACTTGTTACACACCAACTGCAATACCTACAATACGCCCAAAATATAATAGTTATGAATGAAGGATATATAGAAGGTCAGGGAACTTATGAAGCTTTGCAAGTCAGTGGAATAAGATATACTGAACAAATGGCACAACCAACAGAAGAAGTAAATGAAGATGACCCACCCCAAATGGCTTTAAAACGTAAAAGTGCATCGGTCTCGGATATTAGAGGACTTATGGCAAGAAGCTTACATACTCTGGAGTCTGGTGTTGGGGGTGATAAAGAAAGAAGTTTCAAGGTATTGTAAATATGTATGGTATTTGTAAAAATGCATGCGATAAATAATGCTAGCTCTTTAACAATAATATAGTTTTATCCAGGAAGCGCCAAAGGCTGACGCCGAAGTACATGGAACTGGAAAGTTATCATGCATGCTGTATTTACAATATTTTCATGCTGGTGGAAGTTACCCTGCTGTTGCATTAATGTTTTTTATGTTCCTGGCAGCTCAGTTTTTTGCAAGTTTTGGAGATTGGATCTTTGCCCAATGGTAATTATTGGTTTACCTAAGTATTAAATTTTAAAACGGTTTTTAAGGGTACTTCTTGAAGAATATACCTATCATTTGACAAATGAAAAGGAACCATTATTCTCATTTTATACATTGGATAAGTTTACAGAAATATACTGGGGAATCATAGCAGGAACTTTTATTGTCGTAATTTTCAGAGCCATGTGGTTCGTGGGAATATGTATGAGGGCCTCTATAAAGTAATAAAAATATTTTTTACCTTTAGACCACTAGGATGTTAATGGCCTTATTATGAAACTTAATAAAAGATAAATACTATTTTTAGACTGCATGACCAAATGTTTAAAAGTGTAGTACATGCTAGCATGAATTTCTTTTATACGAATACTTCTGGTAGAATACTAAACAGATTTTCTAAAGATATGGGATGTGTAGATGAGTTTTTGTTGCTTGCTTTTCTGGATACTTTTCAGGTAAGGTATAATAAAACCTTATAACTGTTTTTGCGATGTTGATTCCAAACTAGTTCAGTACATACACATTCAGAATATCAAATTATTTATTAATAAAACAGGTTTATTTAAAATCTGCAAAGAATATGTAATTTCATGGAACTGGTGAGAGTGGACAAAATAATTAATACTCTCTGACTTCACCCTATGGGCGAAATGGTATTTTGCTTAGAAGAAAAAACAACAGGAAGGAGTATTATCATTACTGTACTAAGAATTGAGACGGAAGTTGCCATTTTCCACAACCAAATATGACTCATTTTTGGTGGTATATTATTTATCAAAGACGTACGTCTACAATGCGTAAGACAAATGCAAATACCGCCATATGCAACAACCATTCTGGACGCAAACTCGTTTAGTAAATGCTCCTTTCTGTTGTTTTTTCTTCTAAGGCTTTAAGTTAAAATTGGGAAAAAATCCCCTCCGAAGGACTAATACACAATAGGACAAACACAAATAAACAACCATACCAATATGGGACTCGAACCCATGACCTCTCGGCTTGTAGTCAGCATTGCGTATACGCATCCTATAGAATTTCAGAACTAGTTAAGGATTAGCACCGCAAAATAGAATAATACAAGACCTATATTTTAGATATTATTAAACTTGGTCGGTGCTATATTTGTACTTTTATTCATTGAATGGCTATTAATAATACCAACTGTAGTATTAGTCCTTTTATTCGTAACATTAAGATGGGCATACTTAAAATGTAGCACAAGTATAAAACGTTTAGAGGGAACAAGTAATACCTAAGTTTTTTTAAATAAAAACCTCGGCTGATAAATTATTTTTAGCCAGAAGCCCAGTTTTCGCCCATTTAAATGCCTCACTTCAAGGATTGCCAACTATAAGATCAAATAAGGCGGAACAAATTTTAGTACATGAGTTTGATGATTTACAAGACATCCATAGCAGCGTATGGTTTATGTTTCTTTATACTTCTCGGAGTTTTGGCATGTGGTTGGATATTTTATGTACCATATATATTGGTGTTATCACATATTCATTTATGCTATTTAGCCGTTAGTGTTCAATATTTTGTTTAAATTATATTATTTATTTTCACAACTTACGTACGTTTTTCCAGACAACACGGGCAGTATTGTTGGTTTGGCCATCACCCAATCAATTGGCTTAAGCGGGCTCATACAATTGGGTATGAGGCAGTCTGCCGAGCTTGAAAACCAAATGACTGCTGTGGAAAGGGTTTATGAATATATTAATATTGAACATGAACCAAGTTTAGAGTCGGTATGTACTGAAAAGTCTTTTTGATTTCTTGTTTATTTAAGTCAACATTTTAGACAAAAAGCAAAAGGCCCGATGATGCTTGGCCTACGAGAGGTCAAGTAAACTTTGAGGATGTTTCAATGGCATATAAAAAAGGAGAACATAACGTGCTATCCAATTTAACTATGGAAATTCGGCCTAAACAAAAAGTACCTATTGGTATATTTATATTTCTAGATAAAAGTAAATGTATTTTAGATTGGAATAGTGGGTAGAACAGGTGCAGGAAAATCGTCTTTGATAAATACTTTATTTCGAACTGTTAATTTTGAGGGTACTCTGCTTATTGATGAGGTTGATATATCAAAAATTGGTTTGCATGACCTTCGAAAAAAACTTTCTATTATACCTCAGGTAAACGAATGCAAAATATAATTAAAGTTTTCATGATGATAGTACACGCCAAAATAATAAATAATAAAGTTTTTCCTCTATCATTTTTTCATTAGTGAATTAGTTATAAAATAAATCGTTTGGTTTGTTAATAAACCAGTGCGTGTTTTTATTCACACTGTCGAACCGTAAAAGCGTTACAATTGGTGTCAGAAGTGGGATTAGTGTGAAACTTCGCGAAAATGGTTTCGTTAATGGAATTAAAAGTGGCGGACCTTAAGCGGGAGCTGGAAGAAAGTGAAACAACTGGAAAAAAGAATTTGTTGCAGTAGCGGCTTCGAGAAGAGTTCGATCAGGAAGGTGAAATACTAGATGAGTATTTATTTGAAGACCCGTGTGATATTTATTTAATGTTGCAAAATTTAAACGAAAAAATGTTAGAGAATCCTAACAATTTAAAGGATGATCTACAACAGAAAATGCTGGAAAATTCTAGCGATTTGCAACAGAAAATGCTAGAAAATCCTAAAGATTTGAAAGTCGATTTACAACAGAAGATTTTGGAAAATGTCAATGATTTAAAGGATGATTTGCAACAGAAAAATGCTGGAAAATTCTAGCGATTTACAACAGAAATTGCTAAAAAATTCTAAAAATTTAAAAGAATATTTGGTACAGAAGATTCTAGAAAATTTCAAGGAATTAGAAGAAAAAGTGGGACAGAAGGTAAAGACGGTGCGGGAATGGCCAATACCAAAGAATAAACGATTTAAGAAGCTTTCTTGGATTATGCACCTACTATCGTCGGTACGTACCAGGATTTGCAAAGGTTGCTAAACCTTTGACACGTTTGACGGAGGGAGAGAGACGATTCCAATAGGACGACGACTGTCAAGAAGCCTTTGAGGACCTGAAAAACGCGTTAACCAGCTCACCAGTCCTGTGTTATCCTCTCCAGGATGGTTGATTTATTTTGGACACGGACGCCAGCAATGTGAGCCTGGGAGATGTTTTGTCGCATACTTCAGTAAAACTCCATCAAAACCAGAACAAAATTACTGTGTTACTCGATAATTATGATCGGTTGACATCTTAGAAACTTAAACTGAAAAAAAATTAAGTTCACGCACTTTTGGGTAAAACGTATTTTTAACGTACCTACATTTGGATGCGTTCGAGGAATTTTGGTTTTGGGTTTTTTTTCACATAATGCTTCTGGACCTACCCAGGCAGATGGCAGATTTACGTGCAATTTAGGTGCGTTTTCCACGTCTTTCTGTTAGTGCACTATGAACATTGAATTGGACTTTTCATATCGAAAAAAGCACTTTTTTCGCAATCGCGCGACAGCAAAAGATTTTTTGATTAAGAGTTTCTAAATTACCTCTTGTAAATTAAGAACAAATTGAACCTACACCTCGCCAAAGTTTTTTGTTTTGAGTGCGTTCCACCAACTTCAAATACCGACAGACAGCTGTTTCGACCTATATTGGGTCTCATCAGTGTCGGGCAACTTGGTGTAGTGGAACACACTCAAAACAAAGGACTCCCTGAGCTTATATGCTCGGTTGGTAAGCCAACAGAGGCGAGATGTAAGAACATCAGGTGATCCACACCGTCAAACGACGTGGCCTTTTTTTTTCTTATGAATATTACCAGTAATGGGTCAAGAAATTTTCTTATAGAACCTAAGAAAATTGAATGTTTACCTCTTGTAAATTGTTTTATAATCTGGCTTTTGATTAGTGTTACCATAAAAATGTATTACCTATAGTATAGCGCCACTGTAAATAAAATTATTATCGTAAATAAGTATATAAATTATAATATAATAAAATCGGTGATCAGATAAGAGGGCCCCCAGCTAAACCCTAAGCATTTTTCATAGGGTTATTTTATGTATTATTTATTTTTTTAAGGAACCGGTTATTTTTTCTGGAACTTTACGATATAACCTGGATCCTTTTGAAGAATACAACGACGAATCTATCTACAATGCATTAGTAACAGTCGAAATTAAGAATGCATTAGTAAAAGGAATTGGTAATTATTTAATTAGTATAGATAGCTATTAAATTTATTATATGTACCTATATATTTAGATTGTTTATGGGATGAAATGAGTGAACGAGGTGTTAACCTAAGTGTTGGACAACGTCAGTTGGTTTGTCTGGCAAGAGCTATTTTAAGGCGGAATAAAATACTAATAATGGATGAAGTAACTGCTAACATAGATCCACAAACTGACAAATTTATTCAGCACACTATAAGATCGAAGTTTTCATACTGTACTGTTCTAACAATTGCCCATAGGCTACACACTATTATTGACTATGATAGGGTACAAAGAGTATAGAAATTGAAGGGGTCAATGCAAGAAGTGCCTAATTCACATTTTCAATTAAATTTACATTGTGTCTTTATTTAAGAGTGTTTCACGTAAGGTTTCAGGTGGTTTTTTCAAAGTGGCAGAAATATGTGCCCAAGTGCCTTAGTTTGCATTTACTTCAATGGGAGTTTGCCTGCTTTTCAACTTACGTGAAAACTCTTAGATGAAGCCACAATAACAATTTAATTGAAAATGTGACTTAGGCACTTCTTGCATTGACCCCTCTAATTTAAACAATTTGTATATGATTTTAAAAATTTAGGTTTTGGTGATAGACGCTGGTGTTTTAATGGAGTACGATCATCCACATATTCTCCTTCAGAACGAAAACGGTTTTTTTTTCAACGTTAGTAAGGAAAACTGGACCACTAATGACAGAAAATTTAAAACAAATAGCTGCCGAGGTATATTTAATTGATTAAAAAAAAAGTATTGAAAATATGTTTTTTATATAGAATTATAAAGAAAAAGAGCAAAGGAAACAGCAAGCAAGGTTTAAAGACGAGGAAAATTTAGTTAAAAGCACTAAATATGATAATGAAAATGAAGAAAATCCTAAAGATACCCCCGATGAAAACCCCGATGAAAACCCCGATGAAAACCCCGATGTAACCCCCGATGAAAACCCCGATGAAAACCCCGATGAAAACTCCGAGGAAAACCCGGAATAAAATTTTATCGATATCGATATTTAAGTTGCAAAATATTTTATTGTCATAAGATTTTTTACAAATAAAAAAAGTAATTTAGTATTTTATTTATTATATTTTATATATATTCTTTTCTATTCTACAGGGTGTCCTAAAATATCACACAATAGAGGGTTATTTTAACTATTGTGGTTTTTTATTTATAATAAAAAACATATATGTTTTTCAAAGTTAAACCGTTGAGTGAAGAGTCAATGTTAAACTTTACTTTTGTTATTTTTCTGTTTTAAGACTATTTATTTATATAAAAGAATATAAAACAATTTTATATGGGGTTTAAAAAAATTAATTTGTTAATAGTAGTTATGACCAGGGCAACATTTTTTCATATTTGACGCTTATATAAGCGTCCAATCCTCATCGATAAAGAAAAATCCTTATCAATAAGAAATTTTTCTAAGAGACGGGTTGCGTATAACAACCCTTGTGATTTTTTTCCTAGCCGTTAATTCGTGTGCCATTTTTAATTTTTAAAAATCAGGCGCTTACTGACACACCTCTAGATATTTTATCTACTTTTATTTGTTTGGAAATTTGTACAATCACCATGAATAACGATGAAATATCCTGTGAAAGGCCGTATTTTTATTAGTAAACCCGGAAAATGTTATACAAATCAAACGAACAGTAACGAAAATACAGCGCTTCAAAGTCGTCAAAAATTACCATTTTTAGCAAAATAATCAAAAAGGGGTAATTTTTACCGACTTTGAAGCGCTGTATCGTTACTGTTCGTTTTATTTGCACAGGGTATACCAACAAAAATACGGTCTTTAACACCATAAAAGTTATTTTTAAAACGTTTTTTTGTTATTTAATTAAAAGGCTTTAACAATATTATTTCTAAAATATATAAGTTGAAGTATTTTTATACAAAATTTGATAAAGATTGGTAAAGGCGTTTTAGAGTTTTTTTTACTTATTATGCGTTAATTTTGACGTGCCATTTAAATAAGCATATTTCCTTCTTTGTAATTGGAAGTTTTTAAACTAAGATATACCTAACTTCTTTACTAAATAAGTGGAAATGCGGCTTGGCTAGTGAAGATCATGATTTGTAGCATCAAAAGCCTTGCTGTAATCCAGTAAAATAAGAAGAAGTGTTTGTGGTGTGATGTCTTCTAAAACGGTTTTAGTAAAACCAGACTGTGTCGGCGCCATAAGATATACTTAACAAATTGTTAGTACTCCACCAATGATACGTTTTTTGGCCGAAACCGATGTTCGGATATTAAAACAGTCGGCCAAATATTTGGCTTCGACAAAAAAGTTTATTCGAAGCCTACTTTCTACCTACTGGGAAATTTGTTGTTAAATGTTTGGCTTCGGCTAATAATAATTATTATTAGTCGAAGCTAAATTAGCCGAAGCCAAACATTTAACAGACTGCCTGTAAATCCCCAAATTTCCCAGTAGGTAGAAAGTAGGCTTCGAATAAACTTTTTTGTCGAAGCCAAATATTATAATAGCCGGGATAAACCTTCTGCTCAATTTTAGCCGAAGCCGAATGATGGCCGAAGCCAAATGTTTGTTTAACCTATAATTTATATCATCTTGCCTCCCCTGGCCCATTGTTTGGCGAAGGCGGCACCATATGAGAGGGAAATGCCATGCAGGTTTTAACAAATAAAAGTTAATGTTTAGTAATTTATTTATTATAAAATACGTTTATTTACCTTAAAACATTTTATAAATCTTACCCCTACCAAGTTTGTACAAAAGCTATACAGGATGTCTAAAAAATGTCAGTCCGTATCATAAGGATCTAATTGAATCAAATAATATTAAAAGGGACTAAGTCAATTTTTTCACATTTTGCGTTACATATCTATTTCTACTTACTAAAGTGTACAAGACGGATTGCAATATATAGGTATGTAACCTAAAATGTCAAAACATTTTTAAATTTAATAATGAGCTAGGTATTTAATTACAGTAATTATGGATGCAGAAAATTAATATATTTTTTCATTAAATTTATTATTATAATATTAGGCATAGTAGACGGTCATTTTAAAACCCTGTATAATATTATTATAAATTGAATATTGTGGCAAATACAATGTGTTCCTGAGTTACAAATAATAACAAATACATGAAAAGCGTTAAAACAAACTCAGACTATATTTCTCCATACATTTTCTTAAAAAAGGTACCACAGCAAGTTTTGCTATATAAGTACAATGTAAAAATATAACAATTAACCTAGCTTAATTAAATTACAAAATTCATTAGAAAATAATTAGTATCAAGCATCTTCCTTAACTTTATTTAAAAGAGCATCACAGGTTTTTTTAGCATCACCCAATAACATGGACGTGTTTGTTTTGTAGAAAACTGGATTATCGACAGCGGCGTATCCAACACCCAAAGATCTTTTCATTACAATTACATTTTCCGCCTTCCAGACATTTAAAACTGGCATACCAGCAATAGGGGAATTGGGATCGTCGACTGCAGCACTATTAACAGTATCGTTGGCACCGATTACCAAAACCAGATCAGTTTCAGGAAAGTCATCGTTGATTTCTTCCATTTCCAAAACATCATCGTATGGAACACCTGCTTCTGCTAATAAAACGTTGAGTTGTCCAGGCATCCTACCGGCGACTGGATGGATAGCAAATCTAACATTTTTACCTCTACTTTTTAAAGCATTAACCATTTCTGCTATGGGATACTGAGCCTTGGCCACGCATAGACCATAACCAGGTACTATAATAATATTTCTGGCATTGTTTATTTGTTCTACAGCTCCATCCAAGTTTATCTCTGTATGAGTACCAGTAATTTCCATTGGTTTTCCTGTTCCAGTACTACTAGTACCATATCCTCCAAGAATTACGTTTGGCAATGATCTGTTCATGGCTTTACACATGATGTATGAGAGAATTGCACCAGAAGAACCAATAAGGGCACCAACTATGGTCATCAAGTTGTTATTTAACATAAAGCCCTCTGCGCATAGTGCCCATCCAGAGTAGCTGTTTAGCACTGTTATGACAACAGGCATATCGGCTCCTAAATATGAAAAACAGTGCAATTTTTAAGTATATTTAAATATTTATCCATTTTACCTCCTATTGCAGAAGTTAGCGTTACTCCCATAACAGTTGAGAGGGCAGCGGTGGTACCTAAAGCTCCCAAACCACCTGCTAAAGTAGGATCGAAGAATAAGTAACCACCAGCTGCAATATTACCCATAAGTAATGCACTGTTTAAAGCATGGCGTCCTGGAAGTAGTAGGGGATTCGATTTAAGGACACCTTGTAATTTACCGTAAGCAATCAAGGAACCACTATAGAATAATTAAAAAGAATTAATCCTGATCTTATAAAAAATTACCAAGTAAAAGTATAAATTATTAACCCAAAACATGGTACTTGTACAATGTTCAGTGTACATGTCACTTTTAAGGTTTCAACTGCTATGTAAATTTAGCAAATTTAACTATTTATAACATATTTAAACCTGTAGTACAGATGTGATAAAGTATGTCACAGTCTGTAGTAGTTTAAATGCCTTGTTTGTAGATATTAAGTTTGATTAACATGTATGCAAATTAGATTTGTAGTTCATTTAATAGTTTTGTTTGCATTCTGCAGACCAGTAAAATTTTAATTTCGGATATTTTGGGATAAGTCAAGGCCGGTTAATTGGGCGACAGAATTTAATTCCTAAATAGTGCAAGTGTCTTCTTTTTGTACTATGGTAGAACTACGTGTTCACATTGTTAAAACATTGTTAATTTTGAAAAATGAATCAGAGTGAATCATTTAAAATGTCACAGCTGATTAAAAACTAGATAAATAGATTGCAATGTAGAAAATTAATTTACAACATGAAATTTACAATCATGTTTAGATCTGCATCATAGGTATCATTTAACAGTATCGTTCAGTAGAAATGCTGCATCTGTTGCCGAACCATTTGTATAATTGTCAATTTTGTCATATCTTTTCTCTGATTTTTATATAGTAAGAATATTTATTTTTTATTATTATTGGGCTTTATTTCGTACTAACATAATTTGTATATTATAAGGGTCTATTTGAACCAAAATTTAAAAATCCATAATTAGGTATAAAATTAATATCACAAGTTTCAATATAGACGCGTCCTGCCAAAGTTTGTTTCATTTGTTTATTGTATTACCTGAATGTTACTCCGCCAATGTATGTACCCAAAAACAGAGCTGTTTTAATAATGTTAGCAGCTGGGTCTGTTGCAAATTGTGGGAAGTCGTGTATGTAAGTACCAAAACATGTAAGTACAGCTGCCAAACCAACTAAGCTATAAAATCAATTTTATCATATATTTATACTTGAACCTTTTAGTAATATTTTACCTATGGAAAGCAGCTACTAATTGTGGTAAATCGGTGATTTGTATTCTCTTAGCTATTACAGTACCAAGAGCACCACCCCCAACCAAACAAGCAGCCATTTGCGCCAAAACTTCTGGAGTAGGTGATAAGTAACCTAGGGTTGCCGCAATACCACCTGAGACGCCGATCTAGAACAATAAATAATAGGGTTATATTTGAATTACTTAAATTAAAAGTTTTATTTCGTACCATTCCCAAATTATTTCCTAATCTGGATGTAGCTTGCGAACTTAAACCACCTAATGCTCCCACACAGCACAGGGAAGCTGCGAGGTAGGCTGCTTGATGCACCTCTGGAAGACCCTGAGTCGCTGCCCATCCATAACCCCCTAAAAATCCTGCTGCTGGAATGGCATATAAAGAATTGTATTCTGGTGGATCTCCCGTTCTATAAGTAATAATTAGTCATACATAAAACTTATGTAAATTTACACTAACCTTTTAAACATATCCAACATCCTTTTAGTTACCACGAAGCCTCCAAAAACGTTGATAAAAGATATAAACGCAGCTGCAGCTGCCAAGGACTAAAATTATAAAATGTATTAGTACACAAATCTAAATAAATACAAACTTTAATCATACTTCAACAGAATTGGTCGGATAATATCCACCATTCATTAAAAGCAAACCTCCAACAGCTGTTATTCCCGATATAGCATTGGTAACAGACATAAGAGGTGAATGCAATGCTGGTGTTACACCCCAAACTGTATGATAACCAACAATTCCAGACAATCCCAATATAGACATCATGGAAGTAAATTCTGGGTTAGGGGATATCATTCCCAACCCCAAAATCGTGCCCATACCGGCTGTAGTAGCCAGTGAATTTTGCATAGTTGCCTTAAATGGCGTCAAAGCTTTTTGTTCTTCTTTGGGCACTGCTACAGCTTTTTTTGGTAAAGGTGCTGGAGGACCTGTAGGAGTTGGTGGAGGCCACATCCATTTACCTTTTTCGAGTATCATACTACCTCTAACAACTTCATCATCAAGGTTTATGTTGAAGTAATCATTTTCACCCATTGAGAGCAAAAATTTTGATATGTTATTGGCGTATAGAGTGGAACTCTGGGTTGGAAGTCTGCTCGATAAGTCTGTTAGACCTACATGGATTACGTCGTTTAAACTGTACACTTCACCAGGTTTAGTTGTTTCAATGTTACCACCAGCTTCAGCTGCAAGATCTACTACTACGCTTCCTGGTTTCATTCCCAAAATATGTTCCTAAAATATTTATAAAAAATAAGGGAGAAAACTTAATCTTAACAATAGTTTAAAAACAATGATGCTTGTTGAATGAAAGAAAGTCTTTGGACTTCTATTGCCTTAGTATATTTGAATTACTAATACTAATACTGGTACAGTTGAAAAGTCGTTATTAAAAATACTAAGGCAATGAGTCCAAAGCAAAACCAATAAATTACCTTAAGAATTAAAACAGGTGCTTTTTTTCCTGGAATTAGGGCAGTTGAAATTACAATATCAACTTCTTTAAGCTGTTTAGCAAATAAAGCATGTTCAGCATCTATAAATTCCTTTGACATTTCCTTACTGTATCCTCCAGTTGTACCACCTTCTTCCTAAAAAACTTGCATGTTAGTTATAGAATTCCTGTATAGATTGTAACTAAATTTGTTAACATTTCAATTTTATTACAAAATATTAAAAGAAAAAACTAAATAGAATACATAAAACTTACTTCGATTTCTATAGTTAAAAATTCTGCTCCCATAGATTCCACCTGCTCTTGGACAGCTGCTCTGGTATCAAAGGCTCTAACAATTGCGCCCATACTCTTTGCTTGACCTATGGCAGCTAATCCAGCTACACCACCTCCAATGACAAGAATTTTAGCTGGAGGGACTTTTCCAGCTGCGGTTATTTGACCCGAGAAAAACCTGGGAAAATGGTTTGCAGCTTCGATGACAGCTCTATAACCAGAAATATTTGCCATGGAACTTAAAGCATCGAAAACTTGAGCTCTAGTTATACGAGGAATGCAGTCCATAGCTAAAAAATAGTAAATCGTGAAAATATACTAGATATAATTTATTTTTGAGAATTTCTTACCAAAAGCATTTATTTGTTTTTCTGCCAACTTATCTATGAGATTTTTATTTTGAGCTGGGTATAAAAATGATATAAGTGTTGAATCCGCCCTAAATTTATTTATTTCATTTTCAGCAGGATGTCGCACTTTTAGAAGTATATCAGATTCGAACACATTTTGATTGCTTGCAATTTTGGCCCCGGATTTTTCATAATCTTCATTTCTAAACTTAGCTTCGACCCCAGCGTTTTCTTCGACCAAGACAGTAAATCCTTTTTTGGTTAACGTTTGTGTTACAGCGGGAGTTACTGCCACCCTTCTTTCGTTTTTCCATATTTCTTTTGGAACTCCAATTGTAAGCTTTGAGTAAGGCACTCCTTTAATTGGTTCAGATGATTTTGTTGAAAATTGTCTACTGCTTTTTAATACTGCATGATACGTTTTTGGGTTTATACTGTGCGAGTTACATTTGTATAAATACTTAATATCACAAGATTGGAGTTTGTTTAAGTGTAGCCTTAAAATTCCTCGAGTCATTTTGGAGTTTGGCTTCTATTTAGTCATTTCCCTATAAAACAATTTCGGTTATATTTGTTATATTTATATAAAAAATCAAAATTATTATTAAGGCGCGCTACGGGTTTGTGTAGAAAATTGTATTATATTTCTTGTCATAAACCAAAATTTAATAAATAATAGTTATTTATGTTATTACCCTGCTGAAAAAGACAGATAATATCGGATGATTGAGGATAAAAAACAAGTTAGTTTTATTTTCATTTATATCTGTTTTCATCCGATAAATATTATCCGCAAACGTCGGGTTTTATCTGTTTAGTTCTATGTCTGCTTTCGTCTGGTTTCATCCGCATATACCTTTATTTGGGTTTATATCTGCATTCACCCGGGTTTATCTGCAAATACCACCCGTCTGTTTTTACCCAGTTTCATTTACTTCTTTGCCTGCTTACGTCCGGTTTCATCCGCGATTATCTGATTTTATCCGGTTTCACTTGCAAACATCTGCTTTATCCGCGAAGATCTGCTTTTATCCGCAAACATCTGCTTTTATCCGCAAACATCTGCATTTATCCGCGAACGTCTGCTTTAATCCGCAAACATCTGCTTTCGTCCAGTTAACCTGCGAACGTCTGCATTCATCTGCAAACATCTACTTTAATCCGCACAGATCTGACAAGATGTTTACGGGTGAAATAGAAATAAAAGCAGATGTTTGGGGGTGAAACCGGATGAAAGAAGACGTAAATAGACGTTTGCAGATAAATCCAGACGAAAAAATGCAGGTAATCGCGGATAAAACCAGACGTTCGAAGATGAACCCGTACATATGCAGATATAAACGAAATGCAGTAGAGACGGTTAAAAACAGATGATTGCCGATGGTGCACTAACCGGACATAAAATACAACCGTGGATATATCGATGCGGACAAAATCAGATGTTATCAGATGATATTTTTACCCGCTTTTATCTGCATTTATCCTGTTTCGACGAAGAATTTACATCCGTTTATGATACCAGACTGATACACCAAAAAGTTTTAAAACTATGAAATATTTTCTGCTGGTGCAAATCACATGATTACAAATAAAAATGACATTCATCTTTTTAAATAATTAGTTACCTACTGTCCTTTTTAGAAAACAGGCCAATATTGTTAATAATAATAATTATTTTTATTATTACTATAATCACCTATTGGCTTTAATTAAAAAAGAGTGTCAACTAAATTTTAATATTTCTAAAATAATTTTAGTAAAATTTTGTAAAATTACACATTAAAAATAAAATATTAAGTACCTGTACCTAAGTGTAGGTAAAATAATGATAATTATAAATTATTATAAAATAAGTTACATAAATATTTGTCTAGATATAAAATAAAAAACTATATCACCTTAACAACAAAAAATCCTGTACTTTTAACTTTTATATTAAGAAATAATTTAATATAAAAGTCGTAATATTAATTCCTAACTACACAAATGCAATTTAACGACTAAAAAATAATCCTTTGACAATGATAAAGAAAAATAGCATAGAAAAGGTTAAAAAAGGTTAGTAAATACGATAATAGTGTTTATATTTTTTCAAGTTATGAAATAATTCAGTTGACAAATTCTTAAAGTCTTATTTTTAATCAATTGTAGTACTTTATATCTAGTTAGGTACCTAATAAACTTATTTGTTTAGATTTATGCTATTAAAATTTTAACTACTTAAAATATTGTCTTTAAAATAGACATTAGATAATATCTAAATTATAATAATATATTTTAAATTATAATAATTTAATTATTATAATAAACACTAAAAATGTATAGAGTGGGCCAACAAAGACGAATTTAAAGTTGAAAAAACACTAGAACTCGTCATTTATTTTCTAAAAGAGAAGAAAAAAATCAATGATAATATTATTATATTATACAGGGCCAACCAAAACAGTATTTTGGGTATATTTTTAACTAACAATAAATGGATTTATCTTATTACTAGAAATGGGATTTAAGGTTGCAAAATTTATAAAAATAGGTACCTATAGTTACCTATAAATAATTCTCTGTAGTTTTTGTTTTAGGTGAGAAATTTCTTATATTAGGTACATACTTTACAAGCAACTTTTAGGTGGTAAAATTATTTTATTCAACTCCCATTTCATTTCCTAACTTTATCCGGTGGGCAAAATAACATTTCGCCCACGGGCTAAAGCTAGCTTTAATTTAAGTTTGGAAAAAAGTGTGGTTTAAACTAATTCGCAGCTGTTAGATGTCAGGTAAAATATCAAATAAAATTGGCGTTAAATCCTTTATATCCTTTTTATAACTTATGGTTATTAAATAAAATATTGCGTGCGACTATTGGTCAAAAGCTCCTCTAGTCGAAAAAAATAATAATAAAATTGTATTAAACAAGATTTTTATGATTTTAAAATTTTGAAAATATCTGACGAATATACCTTGTAAAAATATTATAATACCATCATAAATTTTATAACATTTTAAAGGGACACATTTAAAATGTTTTATTGTAAATAAGCATACAATTGCAATTGCTGGCAATAAAAAATTCACATTATGAGAGAAATGGTTTAAAAAATACTTGAAAGATAAGAATTTAGGTGAAATCACAATTTTTTAGGTAAATAGTTAAATTTAAAAATTAAAAACTTTTTTTAGAGACACCTACTTATTGAATTTTTCGTCCTAGAGCAACGACCGAATTTTAATAAAATTGTAATGTTTTTAAGAAAAATAAAATCAAAATAAAGTTTAAAAAATTGAGTTTTCACTTTATAAATAGTCAATTTTTTTTGACATTTGACTAGGTACGTACTAAATTTAATTTTAAAAAATTATAAAATTTATATGTTTAGGTATATTTTTTTAATTAACACTAAATATTCATTATTTTATTACGTTTTTGTTAAAAAAAGCGAAAAACCTGCTTAATTATTTATTTTCCTTTTGAACCGCATACGATTAAACTTGTTATCATTTGTATAGGTAGGTATTTTATTGCATTTTTAATTTATTATTTGTTATTTGATATTTATTGCCATAAATTTAAGTTTAAAAAACGATTAAAAAACAATAGGTTGGTCATTGGGGTAAAATTTTGTAAAATTATTAGGTCAATAACAACTGTGAGTCTAATATTAAACTTAAAAATATCAACCTAAATAAGTTGCTGGTAATAGTTCAGTAGTACGGAAACATTAATAGCACAACCACCAGCAAACCGGCGTCTGCTCTAAAATTAACCGGTGCATATAATATTGCATCTCAATAAAGCTAAAGGAAAACCACCACTCACAAAGAGAAACATATATTGCTAACCTTTTAAACAATACTTTCACTTATTTTTGTTTTGTTTTTTTTGTTTCGTGTCTTGTCAACGGGTTCACTGAATGCTGGTTCATGCAACCAGCAACTGCACCAGCGCACAACTGAAAGATTTTAGCGACGACAACTTCTGGTAAATTAAGCGATTACAAGTGTCAGCCGTAGCGAAATTGTAAAATTTATCGGGTTTCCCAACTTTTGGACATATGGTTGCTATTTATCTATTGGGACTTCTTATCTATCGAATGTTTTCTATGGTTATAATAGATAAACCATTTTACCTCGTTTTTGTACGCTATAAAAACATTTTGTAGGCTTGTTTACCTGAAAAGGTATTTTTATTATCATAATTCTTATCAGTTCTAAATGCAGTTCAGGGTGTCCCAAAAATAGCATCATAATACGTGGTTATAACATAGTATGGTGCCATTTGAGTACATTAGATGCAAAACTTGGTTTTTGCAAATTTTTAAAAAATATATATTTTATCATATTTATGTACATAACTGCACTGCCCAGAGCATACCTAAGTAAACCAGATACATAAGTTAATATTTGTAGAATAAAATACATTTATAAACTTAACGCAGATGCAAAACTAGATATTTGTTTCTTCCTGCCGGATGCAAAACTAGCAGTATACAGTCTATAGACCAATCACATCGACGTCGATCGTTAGTATACGCATTACTTGACGACTAGGGTTGGGACAGTTGAAATTTTCAAATGAAAATTTCAAATTTGAAAGTTTCAAACTTGAAATATGTTATTTAGTTGGAAAAGTGAAATTTTTAAAAATTTCAAATGAAATTTTCAATTCGAAAATTTCAACATTGCCTGTGAAAGTTTCAGAAATTTCATTGAAAGTTTCGCAATTTACTGAAAATTTCGCATAAATTTCACATGCGGCCTCCCCTGGGACCTTTAATAATAATTTACAACAGATTCCGAATCGACCAATAAGAACGAGTTATCAAGCGTCTGGGCGTTTTTGTTTAGTTCGGCTTGGATTTGAATACACTATAAGTAATTATTGTTACTTATATGCATAAATTAATTTAAATAATTTAATTCAGTTAACTACCAATTTAATTTGTAAATTAAATCAGACTTTAATTTTTTTTAAAAGTCATGATTAATTTAAACTTTTACTTTTGCTATAATTGCATGGGGGAAACGGATAAAAAATGCCTTTGCCTCATAAAATTTTGATGAAGTTTCTTAAATTTTTGTAAAATTTCAGTAAAATATATAAAAATAATAAATATATATAAATATAAAACAATGAAAATGGCACATTCTCATTAGCTTACCAAAAAGTGCTATATCTCTCTTAGTTTTAGTAATTTTAAAAATATTTTAAAAGGAAATCTCAAGAAATTTGTGGTAAACATAGGTATTTACTATTTATATTATTGGTGCAGGGGCCCACAGAGGGGTAGGAGGTAAGAGAGGTCACTGAGTGGGCTTCAATATTAATTTATTACACTAAAAGTGATTGAAATTTATTGAAAGTTTCAATAAATTTCATGAAATTTCAGACATTTAGGACATTTAGGCAAAACTTGGTCTTTGAACTAAATAGTAAGATGCAAAACTATGTTTTTAAATCTTTTGATTTCAATTATTTACTAAACTACTTCATTTTAAAGGATTTTTTTTTACTTTTATGAATAAGAAATCATGCAAAGCACGTCTATACAATTTTTGCATATTTTTTTCAAAAATGATCTTATGAGCGGTTTTTCGTGTTTTTCTTAAAATCACTTATCCTGCAAATACAGAGTTGTGCATCATTTATAATGTACTATATTATAGGGGAGAGTGGGTAGACATTGGACAATGTTTAGATTTTTTTGCCAGGGTCTCTTAAAAATGCATTTATTTCTAATTTCAAAGTTTCAGGTAATAGTGTTGACTTCTGAAAACGCAAAGAGATAAATATGTACACTTTAAACCGCCGTAAGATGGGTTTGCTACGAATTTTTGAAAATTTTCGGTCAATTTTATTGAAAAAATCAGTGCAAAACTTATATATAATATTGTATACAATACTAAATTGCGACAAATCAAAATTAAAGTAAATCATGTTATGGAATCAAACTCCATCAGTGGGGGGGAAGAACCAATACTACGTCCTTAAAATACACCAAGGCTTCATCTTCATCTGTTTCTTTAAATCTGGAAACTGCCTTTTAAAGAAATTGACTGTATATCCTCGGTTTAATTTTTGCAAAATTCTGCTAAGGAAGTGTCGGGACGATATTTGGACAATAGAGGAAGACTCTAGACAGTATGTCCAAACTCTCCCTACATGATGTGGAACAAAAAAAATGTTTATAATTTCAAAATATAGCAACGGAATAAAGTAAGGATATAACAAAAGTTCCATGCTTTAATATGTAGTAACATTAAAATATTTATCTTCAACGGTCTGGGTAGAAAAGCTTACAAGGGGAAAGTAAAATATTACATGAAAAAACTCGAAAATAAACTTTTTCACTTACCTCTTCCACAGCTAAACTCAAACTTATATCACTTAGTGATAATCACTACCACTATTTGATACCTTACCAACTTGACGATCTGTAATAGTAGTACTACAAACAATAACGATACAAAAAACGATAAGAATTCCGAGGACTCGTAATCCGACACTTTTAGATTCTACATTCTTATCGTCACGATATCGTCAAATGACGTTGATGTCGATATGTATTTCGATATCGTGAACGAGTCAAAACGCGATATCGCCAACTAACGTCGATGCCGATATGCTTGTCGATATCGCGAACGAGTCGAAACGCGATATCGTTAAACGATATCGTTAAACGATATCGTAAACGAATCGAAACGCGATATCGTAAACGAATCGACACGCGATATCGTAAACGAATCTACATACGATATCGCGAACAAATCTAGAGGTGATAAAATTTTAAATAAAAAATATCCAATTAAAAAAGCCTTATTTTATTTATGACATTTACAAAAAAAAAACAATGGCAAGGAATTGTTATTACAATAATAAATTTATAACATTTTTAAAATAAACTTAAAAAATAAAATAAACTTTTAAAACAAAATACAGTGTCACCAAATAAGTTGTGATAGTACACTCTTAAGTAAGCAAGTTATTCCCCTATTACTTTTGCATTAGAGCTAATATTTTTGAATAAAAAAAATATAAAAATTATTAAAGTATTTTGACCCCGCCACTGATTCCTTTCTGATGATAAGTAAACTTGACCCACTTAAACTTCCTGTTTACAGGTGGTATAATGGGTCAAATAAATTCAACATTTAACTGATTCTTTTGTTAATAAATTAATTACTGCTAAATAACTGGCCACCTATACTTTATGGAAAGACCCTAGGTCACAAATGAAGAAAACTAATTAAATTGCTTAATTATTTTTATATAAACTTACCAATCATTTATTTGTGAAATTAGCACCCTAGTAAAGAAATGAATGATTTTAAAGTCTATATAAAAATAATTATTTTTTTGAAGAATATCTCGAGTAAATTGACTTTAGGTGTTTCTAAAATCAGTGATTAAATTTAAATTGTATAGAAGTTTTAACATTTTTCAAATATTAATATTTAAATTATGTATCATTATATATATATATATATATATATCATTATCATTTAAAGTTAAAGAGTCTGAAATATCATATATAGTTACAGGGTCATTTAGGTCGGTTTCCTGTCCTTTATTTAGGTTGGTTTCCTGTTCTTCATTTAGGAAGACTTCCTGTCCTTCACTTAGGTTGGTTTCCTGTCCTTCATTTAGGTTGGTTTCCTGTCCTTCATTTATGTTGGTTTCCTGTTCTTCATTTAGGTTGGTTTTCTCTCCTTCATTTAGGTTGAATTCCTGTCCATCATTTAGGTAGGTATACAATACGAACAAATACGAACTAGGTATAATAAAACAATCTGTCTACTTACGTTTTAATTTAGCAGTATTAAATACAGCTCCACATCCATAGATTAGATAAACACAGCCATAGAAAACAGCTCTAAACAGACACAAATAGACCAGCCCAAGCCACAATAACTCAGCTTCGCCATGTTATTAATTTCTATCTGTTAATGATACCTACATTACCGACATCACGTCGGCGGTATATTTAAATTTATTTCCTACAACACCAGCTACAAAAAATATATAATAAAATAATACTTTTTTCTATGAGTTTGTCTTCTTACTATTTTCTATATTTAATATCAGTATTTATTTGCAATGCAATGACAGCGTTGCACTATAAGCGACATAAATTTAGTGTAAAACCGTTGAGTAAAGGAATAGGGTTGGGTATACCCTATAGGTATACCTATAGGTATATCTTAATCAAATTGATTAAATCAATGGTAAAACTATATACCTACCTAGGTACCTATATATATATATAGTTAAAACAAAATATCGATACGCAAGACGATATCGTACGATGTCAAAGACCATATCGTCATTGTTTGTCGTCATGACAACCCTTTTGTCGATATAGAAACTTACATCGTCGAAGATATATGTTTATATATCGACAAGAGGGTCGTTAGACGAGTCGTCAAATTTGGGAAGCTATTTTAGAGCTTTGTTTTTATTAAATATAAAAATATAAATAAAAATCATAATGCACTGCAAAATTAGGACCAAGGAACATGCTGCGACTTGAATTTAGTATAAAATAGTTAAAAAATATATCGGTACGAAAAACGATGTCAAAGACGATATCGTTATGTTTGTCGTTTTGACGACTGTTTTGTCGATATCGGGACTTATCTCGTCAACGATATAGGTTTCTCTATCGACAAGACTGTCGTCCTACGAGTTGTAAACTTAGGGAAGTTCTTTTTAGCTATGTTTTGATTAAATATAATTAAAAATCATAATTATGTATTAATGCAATGCGCAATTACGACCAAAAAAGATGCTGCGATGTGAATTTAGTGTGAAATAGTTTAAAAAAAATAACGATACGAAAGACGATATAAAAGACGATGTCGTCATTGTTTGTAGGGTACGTACCAACCTGAAATTTTTACTGGAACCTCGAAATTTGAAAGTGTCCATTGTCTCCCATGGGTGGTCTGGACACTGCAGTGTCCAGACCACGATACTAAATAAGTATGTAGTATCATGGTCCAGACCCTCCCCACTCTCCCCTACAGTAATCAATTATTAAAATATTATGTTAAGTTTTATACTAGGGCACCCTGTATAGTGTAATACAATTAATAACGATATTAAGATTTTAGCATTATTTGGTTATTACCCTAAAAATGCATAATCGTATCTGTATAATATGTTTTAAAACTGCCTTAAACCAACTGTCTTACAACGTACCGTTAAGTGAAGGATAAACCTTAATCAATGGTTGTACTATTAAGTCCTAAAACATTTTTAAGAGTGTCCTAAACTTATTCTAAAACTGTTCAAATTGTAACACTTTTATAGCAACAATTGAAGTATTCGTTAAAACTATTGAAAAAAGTGTTTTGCTATCTTTATATTACTCTTACTAGGGTACGACTAAAGTGGGAAACACCATTAAGTTCCAAAATGGTAACAATTAGATCACTAGCGATATACCCTGCTATTATTTGGACATTGCTAGAGCATTACTAGAGCGTTGCTATATCGTTGCTAGAACGTTATAATTACTTTTATTTCTATATTATGTATCTTTATCATACTTATATTAAATACAGTGTTTTCCATCTAAAACCGTTTTAGTAAAACGATCCACCTCAAATAAATCTAGCTGTTTAAATTATTGGCAAACCCCAAGACACGTCGATTTTTTTTAGGTGACAATTACGCCGACTCAAATCTGTTAGTAGAATACTGTATCTGTTAGTAGTACTCGGAGTACTGTACTCCACACATTTGGGATTACTATTTGAAGTTGAGGAGTTGTTAGGAAGCTATAGGGACTTATCTTCCTTATCGTAGGCAAAATGGAAAACGGGGAGGCTTCAACCAGCAAAGCAAGTTCAGGACCTAGTGGTAGCACCGTAGCAATATCAATAAAATAACTTTATAATATATTCACAAGTTCTGGTCAGAGTAATATTAATGAACAATTCAAGTTTTTAACGAATTATCTTCCAGTAGGTACGTATACGTACCTACATTATAATGCAGTCCTGAATCTGCTTTAAAGGATTTGCCACCCAGATGAGTTTAAGGGCATCAGGGAATAAAAAAGCATCCAAATTGTTAAAGAAAATCACTACTACTTCTCCAGAACGGGCAGGCAGAATTAAAAGGGGTACTACAAGCAGGAGTTTCATAGATCTGAAGCCAGTGATTCATCTGTATTTATAACGACTTTCGTGCCGCTTTGTTTAGTGTGTGACCCAGACAGCAAGAACGTGAAAATGATTTGGCAGAACCCTCGCCCGTCTTCCACAAGGTACTGCAGACCTTTAAAAATTACTTTTGTTAAGGAATCAAAGGAAATTTCTGTAGCGGAGATAAATCGGGTAGATGCCGAAATACAGCAGTTACAAAGAGTGAACTCAACTTACACGGTATACTATAGATCTATTTCAGTCACTCACAACATGATTTTTGCAATGCTATTACGGAAACAACATCTACTCAGAAGTGTTACATATGTGGAGCTACCTCAAAAGATTTCAATGACATTGATAAAATAATTAAAAGGAAAATAAAACCACAAAACTTAAAACGTTTTTTTTTAATCCTGAAGTTTCTGCAGAAATAACCAAATTAGATGTAGAATTAATTTAAAAAAAAAATGCACATTATACTGATAGCAGTATCAAGTGGAAACTCAATCAACATCGACCGATTCCGCCAATATACATATGATACTGCTAGACATTTTGTAAATTTGTATGGTTGGTATTGTATGCCTCCCACGTTACACAAGTTTTTTTATACATGAAGCAGACATAACATCTAGTGCACCGTTGCCCATTGGACAATTAACTGAAGAGGCTCAAGAAGCGCGTAACAAAGATTTTAAAAATTAACGTGAACATTTTTCCATGGAATTATTCCTGCAGGAAATACAGCCGGGAAATATCCAACGCAGACATTTTTAATTTGCATTTATTGAGTTCAGATCCTGTATTGACAGGCAAAAAAAAGTATGTAAAAGAAAACAAAAAATCATGCCAAAGGAGGCATTAATTTTTTTTAACAAATTTGAATTATAATACATATTTTTTAAACCTAAAAGTTGAAGTGAGATTTTAAATGCTTTTGCAAAAACTGACACCCAATAAAACCTGTGTATTCGAATGAAATTTTTTAAAACGTTTTAATTCATTAACCAATCAATATCCACATCACATATTGTCATTGCCCTAAAACCAAATTAGTCGGTATTTTGTTTAAATGGTGTTTTAACATGTATCCGTTTCACCGTTATTTTAGTATTTTATGGTCCAATTGTATACCTATACAAGGTGGTCCAGGATTAATCTGAAAAATTTTAATGATCGATAGAGCCTGAAAAAACAATAAAAACAAACCCGAAAACTTTTTTAAAAATACACACTAACACACTAAAAGCCCTTCAAAGGCAAAAAAACGTCTTTTTTAATAACTTTTAAACCATTAAACCCATTCTGTTAAAATTTTGTGTAGGTAAAATTTCTTACAAAAGGCCCAGCGGCGGAGATTTTGGGGGGGTTTCCCCTTTTTACCCCCATATTTCGAAACCACTGGATTTTATTAAAAAATCATCAGATTTTTTATTCAATTTAGAAGCAAAACTTTTAAGGTTGTTTTATTGTAATGTTGATTGAGGATAACAATCAACGTTTATAATTAATAATTTAATTGTATTATAATCCAAAATCAAACCAACCAAAAACCACCCTATTGAAAGCAATTATTCCATTATTCCATTGGTAAATTTTTATTGGCCCAATACAATCGTTCATGATAAACAATAAATATAATATAATATAATATTTTGCTTTTACATTAAAAAAGGATAAAAATAAATCTGATGATTTTCTAATAAAATCCAGTGGCGTCGAAAATATGAGGGTAAAAAGGGAGAAACCCCCCAAAATCTCCGCCACTGGTCCTTTTGTAGAAAATTGTTATCTATGATTGTCATTACATTATCGACGGAAGCTTAACCCAGAGACAAGTCTCTGGCTTAACCTACACAAAATTTGAGAAGAATCGGTTTAATGGTTTAAAAATTATTTTGAAGGACTATGTTTTTGGGTTTGTTTTTATTGTTTTTTGAGGCTCTATTGATCATTAAATTTTTTCAGATTAATCCTGGACCACCCTGTATAAAATAATTTGGTTTAAAAAATAATAACATTTGGCAGCATAGAATAAAAACAACTCTCTATATTAAAATGGATATAACGTTATATAAAAAAAATTACACATAATAAATAAATATACATAGGTACAGGGTGATCCCCTATAATGTCGCCCCCTTTAACTTTTTTATTTTAAGTGTCCCAAAAAATTTAAAAGTTGGGTTATGTAGGAACTAAAAAATACTTTTTTTCTACGTATAAAGAAAATTGGAAAATTGATCAGTATACAGGGAAAAACAAGAAGTTTATTTTTTTTCAATGGATCACCCTATATTTGAATTTATTTTTCGATTCCTTGTGAAATTCTAAGCATAATTTATATACAAACCATATACCTAAATTCAACCGTTTCTGAAATATTCGCATTCGAAATGTCATCATTAAATGTTTTTTTAAACTGTTAAAAACCAAGAAGCCTCAGTATTCCAAAATTATTATTGAAAATAAATTATTATAGTGACAATATGTCAATAAGTGTTGTTAAATAAGTAAAAATGGCGTACTCAGACTATTTCAACTTATTATCTTAAAAATAATTTAAATATTTCAGAAACGGTTGAATTTAGGTATAATATATGAAATTGCTTAGAATTTTACAAGGAATCGAAAAATAAATTTATATATAGGGTGATCCATTGAAAAAAAATAAACTTTTTGTTTTTCCCTGTATACTGATCAATTTTCCAATTTTCTTTATACGTAGAAAAAAAGTATTTTTTAGTTCCTACATAACCACACTTTTAATTTTTTTTGAGACACTTAAAATAAAAAAGTTAAAGGGGGGCGACATTATAGGGGATCACCCTGTACATATAATAAATAAAACAAAATTACATATAATAATCTGGTTCTAAGGCGATGAAATGGTTATATAACTATGCAATAAACATAGCAATTTTAAATAAAAATACAGGTAATACACAATGCACATGTCAAATGTTATCACAACCACATGAAATGCATAAACACTATTAACATAATAATTATTAATATTTTGGAGAATATCAACTTATATGGGAATTAAAAAGATATATTTCATTGATTATCAAAAATATTAAAAATCCCTTTATTTTTTGATAAACGACATCACGATTTTACCACTGTACCCCCACTGTATAATTCCAAATTTTTAAATTCATCGTTTCAAGTCAACGCTGTAATCGCCGCGTTCAAATACGATAGTATTCGGTAGAGTTCGGTTGCATCAGTTCGCTTGTTCTTAAAATTTACTTGCGCTCGACCAGTTGCTTCTGTCAGTTTCAGATTTTTAGGTTATAATGGCCGGTACTTTGACGAAGTTTTGTAAAAATATATCGCAGGTGTCCGTCAAACAAGTGCTTCTCCCGTCTTCAACATGCACGCAAAAAAGAAATTGTAAGTTTATTCAGAAAATATGTATTTTTGTTATGTGTCCCTAGTTTTTTATAAACAAAAATATTTGTCAAAGATAAAAGCATATTTTAGTTATTGGACAGGCCAATTTGGCCCAAAATAGCAGGTTTAATTTAAATTTTAAATATAATATATAAATAATATAATATACATAAGTAGCATTTTAAAGAAACCCATTACTTATACCTATTATTAACAAAAATAGGTTCTTATAAATAAGGGAAAACTATGAAGGTGTTTATGTTAACAGCATTTAAATTTTGCAGAAATTTTGAAGGATCAAAGTTCTTATATGGAAATAGATTTGTTTTGAATGGTTTACTTAGATTAAAATTGACCTAATCACCATACTTCATAATTTATTGATAGCTACTTGTCTTATAGTTATTATCATAATTGTTTTTAGAATCTCTAAAAACAATGGTTTTTGGTACCTACCTATCTATTTTAAAATTTAAAAATAATAAAAAGGTAACCAATTAGGCAACACATGTTAAATATTTTGTCGGAATTATTAGAGAATACTTAAGTAATTACTTACCTACATTGGTATTATTTGTTTTAATTTGAGTTGCATACTAATATTTAGAGGAATTGAGGCAGGCAGAAACTTAACGCTAAACCCCAAAACGAACAACGAATTTCATAGTTAAAACACAAGAGGAAAAGATAGTTACAGATTGCCCAAATCCAGGACCAAAATTGGAGAGTAAAGACTGGTATCAGAGTTAGATTAGATAACATCCAACCTGAAGGGGTAAAAAACCTGAATGAAAACAAATTTAAAAAGATGATATATCTGTGATATTATTTATTTATTATTGTAGTCTATATTTATTTTTTTATTGTTATAACTATATTTACATATGTACCTACCTGTAGGGTTGAGATTTTGACCGGTCAAAATCTTTTGTGTCAATTGACCGGTCAATTGACGAAGCACCGTTCAAATTCCTTAGTTTTTTCTAAAGAAATGAAGGCATGAGTAAAATTAGTTAATTTTAAATAGAAACGTAGGTACCTACCTATATTTATTGAAAAACAGCCAACAAAAAATATTTTCTGTTTCTATGAAAATTAAAAATAAAAAATCTCTATTAGTACCACACTACAAAAGCAAACTTTATATAGGATATGGATATTTAGCCTTCATTTTGGTGCTTGATAAATAGAAAAATCATAAAATGTACCCAAGGACAAGTTTTAGTTTTGTTGAGTTCTGTAATTAATCTAATGCTTAAAGTATTAAAACTAATGCACGTTTAAGTCCTACCCATTATTTTTTATTTAAAACAATTATATCATAAAAACTTACATAGACTTGTGCCCATGATACCACATGAAATTGTTTGAAGATGTGTTTCTATAATAATAATTTTATGCCAGTCCTCAGTAATGAAATTAAGTAATAATAACTATTATAAAATTATTATTATATGAACAACACATCTTTAAAATTTTCATAAAACATTTTGTCTTGTTTTTGTTTGTCCCGTTAGTAATCATGGAATCGCCCGATATTTTTTTTTACTTTTTTACCCCGGCTGGTAAATCTCCCTTCGCAGATCGGAATTTTGTCGCCGGGCCGGGCTATACGCCATTAAAGGATTAAAAATACAATTATTTTTTGTTTATTTTTCTAAATTTTTAAGATTGTAACTAAAGTGAAAATCTCCTTAAACGTTAAAAAAAAATAAGCAATTATTTCACTTATATTATGCATCCTGGAGACCTTGTAGTTGGCTACTAGACTAACAACAACAATATTTCAAAAAATATATAAGTCTAGAATTTAAAATACCAAAATCAATTATCTCAATTTACTCAGTTTTAATCTGACGGGAGATTATTGACTTTGCTCTGACAGGCCTCATATAGCTCAAAAGGGGGCAAATTATTTTGTTTTTATAACAACCTTTTGTAGATCGTGAGATATTTTTGGGATACTAGGTAGATATTTATTTGTATCAAATGCATTATAACATTTCCTATCGCATTGTGCTTGACATATTTTGATAACAAATAATATAAAAATTCCTTTTTATTTTTGTAAACTTTCTCATGGAGATATAAAATTTTATCCGTACAATTTTTTATATATTCATCTATTGCTAATTGAAAAATAATTGCAATTTAGTTCTTTATATAATTAAACAATTTGCCAGGAGTGTTTAAATTCTATTAATAATATCTTTAAAGAAAAAAAGCTCTATATTTTGCTAGTAAATAGATTTAAAATTTTAGATAAACCTTGTATTCCAAAAAAAATTGATCCTGTTGGTGTTTTGAAATAATTTAGTATTATAGAAAACTGGTTTAATAAATATTGGTCAATATTCATTATACAATTTATTAATATCATAGTCTTGCTGCAAGACTTGCATTTGCAAATGTTGAGGCTGATTTTTATTTAAATTGAATTTATTAATTATTCGTCACTCAGGTAGCGGCAGTGCTTTGTTTTTGATAGCATCGGTTATTGCTTATTCCCTCGCCTGTCTAGACATGCTGGATGTGGGTTTATGGTCAAACAGGGGCGCACGGTTCGCAAAAATATTGATATTTCTTCCAAAAATTGTTATTCATTTCCTTAAAAATAGAAATTAAGAAAAAAACATTTTATATTTGTCTTAAAACTATAGATATCGCAGTAGGTAAATTTAAATATGGGCGTGAAAATAAATTTAACAAAGATATTGCAATGTTTGGTAAAGATATCTGAAACGTTAAATTAAAATTTTAAAATGCAACATTTGCAAATCACTTTTTAAATTTTGTGCATCTCCGCCCCTGACCTTGGTTAGGTGCCGAACTGACCATGATATGCCCTTACATATAGCGGGTCATTGATCCAACGAAATCTGCTTCACAAAACGGATATTAACCTCTTTATTGTCTAAATTATTTCCCTATTTTCAGTTTAACTTCAGTACCTACTTTTTATGCATATATATATATTATTGTACCATAGGAAATTTTTTTTATTTTATAGTTTATGTTTTTTATAAGTTTTGAGAATATATAAGTATAATAATGTTTGATAAATGATATTTTCAATTTTGTTTAGCAACTGCTCTATATATCATTTATTTTGTATTATTTTAAGCAATTTATTGTGGAATTGAAATACTTTTGTAAATAGACCAGAGACTTGTAACATAACCTCGTATAGAAATGAAACTTCGTTTCTGCCGTTATTGTTTCGAGTAACATACTAAAGTTTCGTTACTCTTCTGTTACTTGTTGGAAACGATATTCAACGTTCTACACTAAGTAATTATGTATTAATATTTTCATTAGAAAAATAAAACATAATTAGAAACGGAACGTTTCCAACAAGTAACAAAAGAGTAACGAAACTCTAGGGTATAGAAACAAAACCAGCAACGCCACATATGTAACGAAATGTAACGAAACCTCTCGGTACAGAAACGAAACTAGTAACATATCTGTGCATCTTTACTCAGTAAAGTTTACTGTACAAAAACTTGGTACGTGGCTACTTGTGACTGGTTAAAAGGTCCGAGAAGGACCAGACCAATTTACTCCTATAGGGGAACTTCTGGCACTCCACAAGGAGTAAATATAAATAACTAGTGAGAAAAAGATAATAATTTGACTTTTGAAATAGTTTTAATATGGAGTCTTTCTATATAGATTTATTAGTATTATAATATAAAAATTATTGTTCGCTTGAAAAAAATAATTTATTAATATTAAAAATTCAATATTACTTTAAAATATTATCTAACATGGTTTATAAAAATGTTCTTTTAATTTTCTTACATAATTTATAAGTACATGTTTTTTTAAGATGCTTCTGGAAGAGTAGTGGCCAAAAATCCAGTGGTCGAGATGGACGGTGACGAAATGACGAGGATCATATGGGAGAAAATAAAGGAATCTCTAATTTTCCCATATGTTAAAGTAGACTGTCTTTATTACGATTTAGGTCTTCCCTACAGGTACTTAACGTTTACCGTTTTAAATTAACTTTTAATTTATAATTGTTTTCTTTGTCTACAGAGATCAAACAGATGACCAAGTCACCATAGATGCTGCTCATGCCATTTTAAAACATAATGTAGGGATTAAGTGTGCTACCATTACCCCAGATGAGCAAAGAGTCGAAGGTAAAAAAACAACTCTTCAAAATAAGGGTTTTTAAATAAAAATTATTAATAATAGTATATAAAATAGTTATCTACATGTAATAATAATGCACATTACCCATTGTTAAAGCCATACCTCAAAAATTAAATTAGCGAAATTACCATATAAAAAGATAAAAGAAAGAAAATTTTAAAGATTTAACTTTATTCAAATTAAAAATCAAAATATATCAATACTACACTTGGTCAAAAGTCTTGCATCTGCCAAATAATCATTTTATGCGTCCTGTTCAACGTAGCAAAACATTTGTCAATAAAAGCAGAAATGCCTGGAAATCCATTTTTTCCGAAGAAGGATACTCATCGGTAAATAGCATACAGATTGGGGATTGGGGATAGGGGATAGACCACAGTACAGTTATAATACAGTGAAAAATGAAAAATTTACCCCAAAGTGGCCATCCAAGGGTCAACAATAGGGTTGCCAACCGTCCTATATTTAATAGGACAACCTTATATATATTTCACGCTAATAAGTTCTATGTCATATATAGGCTATATAATATAAGCATACACATTATCTTAAAAAAAGTGATATACAGGGTGCACCAAGTATACTTCTATGGGTATCTTTTTTATTTCAAGAGCTACAAGGTCGGTTAAATTAGATAAACGTTGCCTAATTACAAGCATATTAACATATAAACAGCCAGCGGTTCAAAAAATATTTTAAAAAACTAAAAACCTTCCAAAACTAATATTCGTTATAACTTCGTTATTCCTGAGAAAAAAAGTTAAGTTTTACATGTAAACATATATATATATATATATATATATAACATGTAGATTATAATAATTATTGAGTATACTCAATAATTATTATAATCTACATGTTCTGTAATTGGATTTTATATCTGTTTACTATCATTATTATTATTATTTTCATCCAATTTCTTTGCTACTATATTTTGAGTTACCATCACCATCTTTTGTTTATAATATAATATTATAATGGCCGCCATAACTTATGGATTCCTTTTTCTTTTCTATCTGACCATGGAGCCTACACAAGGAGTACGAACTTAATAGGGGAAATTGACAAAAACTGCTCCCTGTTTTTTCACCACCAGCGGCGCTGATTGTCGATGCGTACTGACGTTTGATGTTTTGGTAGCGTTTCGGTACAAAGCGCCTTCTTATTTTAGGAAGATATTTGTATACATGAAGTTCGGACTCCTTGTGTCCTTATTTTAGGAAGATATTTGTATACATGAAGTTCGGACTCCTTGTGTAGGCTCCATGTAACTGACCATAGAAAAAACAAAAAATGGCGGTGGTAACTTAAAATCTAGTAGGCAAAACAAATAATAAATTGGATAAAGATATAGATAAATGTTTACATGTGAAACTTACTTTTTTATCACAATTCCCCAGAATAACGAAGTTATAACGATTTTTTTGTTGAAGGTTTTTAGTTTTTTTTCAATTTTTATATGCCATTTTAATAGACGCAACGCAATTAGGCAACTTTTGCCTAATTTTACCGACATTTTAGCTCTTCCAATAAAAAAGATACCCTTACATAGAAGGATACTTGGTCCACCCTGTAGAAATAAAATTAGAGCATTTTGAGGCCGAAATTCATTGACCACAAAATGTATTTTTTTGTACTCAACTCTATTTCGCCAAATTTATGTCTTGACTCCCTTGATTTCCATATAGGATGTCCGGAAAATATCGCACCTCTATATATCGTCGCTGTTCTGACAAAGAGGCATAAGGGACATTTTTTCCATATTGGAGTTAAGTTCACTAAGTGATTTTTTACCGTTGAATCTATGATCTGACAAAAGGAAATACACACATACATACATACCCCAAGCAGCATTTTTGGTTCCAAAAACCATTGCCAAAGTGGTGATAACTTTAAATTAGTTAAGTATACTAAACAGCTACTTTAATTTTTACTTAAAAGTAATTCTAACTTTTAAATAGCAATATTTTGTAACAGAAACTTAATTTTTCCTTAAATTGTTACTATAAAGTAATAAACATTTAAGTAAAACTTGGTTGCCCCCAAGAAGACTTTGCAACTTTAAAAAAGATGTTATAAGTAAAAAAAACTTTCAAGAAAATTTAATTTGTAGCAGTTACTTTCGGTTGATACCTAAAGATTACATTATAATTATTTTTACTTTGTAGTCCCTTTGCAAGTTAAAATCTCGAAACTGAAACATGAGTTAAAAACTACAAAGTTAATAACTTAAAAGTTATTATTTTAGTATTTGGAACGTTTATGGTACTAACCAAAACAACCGTAAAGTGGAAAAAAACTTTAAAGTAGCGAAAACTACTTCAAAGGAAAATGCTTCTTATCGGCCATTTTTTACTGTACAGTACCACGTGGTAATGTAAATAATAAATTATTTTAATTGTTTGTAAATGGTTGTTGTTTAATAAATAGAAATATTGTTGGTAATATATATGGTCTATAGACGGTATTAATAATTAAATAAAAAAAATAATAATAAATATTAAGATTTTTTTATTTATAAACATTACTAAATAAATAATTTGTTAAATATTGATGAAGCGCATTTATTTTACAAAAACTAAATTCATAAGTTCAACAGTAAAATTTAAAGGGTTTATAAATCTACCTGTCTAATTAAATATTATATTGTTATTCTGGAAGTTATAAACTACCAGTACATATTTAATAAACGACGACATTGAAAAGCCAAGTCCGTAGTGGTTCCATTTAAAAAAGGAGGGATAGTATAATCTAATATAAGTTTGACAAAGACAGTTAATATAGAAGTAAAAACAAATAATAAAAGTAATTATAACGCTCTAGCAACGATATTGGAACGTTCTAGTAACGTAGCAGCTACGTCCCAAATAGTAGCAGGGTTGGTAGCTAGTGACATATTTGCTACCTTTTTGGAACTCAATAATTGTTCCCCACTTTAGTCGTAACGTAGTAATGAAAGAGTAATATAAAGAGACCGGCGACTGTCGCAAAACACTTTGAAGTTTCTTCAATAGTCCCATATACGTAACAAATACTTAAATTGTTGCATAAAACCAATATGTATTTTTATTTAAAATAATACAAATACATAATGTAAATTATGTATTTGTATTATTTTAAATAAAAATACATATTGGTTTTATGTAACGTTTTAAATGAGTGGAATTATGAAGTATAGTCCAAGATATTTATTATATTTATGGATTTCAAGTACTAAATTCTTTAACGATACTTTATAGTAAAATGGTGGTGCAAGACTTTTGAAATGAGCGTAGATTCAAAAAATGGATTTTTTTTATCAAAATCAATCCAATCAAGTCTGGGACAGGGAGATTTATTTGCCTTTATCGTCTATGGTGAAAATGTCATTTTGGTTAAAATTAACTCTTTTTACACAGTTGAATTTCATACATCGGTTCTTTGAAAATTTTAATGAAAACTTTATTTCCTAATAAACAATTTTTTACAATATACATCGCATTTCATATGAAAAAACTTTTGTATTTTTAGAGTTCAAACTTAAAAAAATGTGGCTTTCCCCTAACGGTACCATAAGAAACATTCTGGGTGGTACAGTATTCAGGGAACCAATTTTATGTAAAAACATTCCAAAACTTGTACCTGGATGGACTAAACCCATCGTCATTGGTCGTCATGCCTTTGGTGATCAATACAAGGCTAAGGACTTTGTTGTTACTAAACCAGGAACTGTATGAAATAAATTATTATTTTTTATTTCATATAAATATATTTGTCTTTAGGTCGAGTTGGTGTACACCCCAGATGACGGCAAAGTAGAAAAATACCCTCTTTATAAATACACTGGACCCGGTGTTTGTTTGGGTATGTATAACACTGATGAAAGTATAACAGCCTTTGCCCACTCATCATTCCAAGTTGCCTTGGCCAAAGGCTGGCCTCTATACTTATCAACCAAAAATACCATTTTAAAGAAGTATGATGGCAGATTTAAGGACATCTTTCAAGAAATTTACGAAAAGTAAGAGAACCAAGAAAAATAAAGTAATAATATTAAAAAATTGTGTTTTAGACATTACAAATCCCAATACGATTCCAAGAAAATCTGGTATGAACATCGATTAATTGACGACATGGTAGCTCAAGGTCTTAAATCGAATGGTGGTTTTGTATGGGCCTGCAAAAATTATGATGGTGACGTTCAATCTGACATCGTCGCACAAGGATATGGTTCCCTTGGTATGATGACATCTGTACTTATGTGCCCAGATGGTAAAACAATTGAATCCGAGGCTGCTCATGGTACAGTTACCAGACATTATAGGTAAAACGTTTGTATAAAACATTTTTCGTTTGTTTTAACAAATGTAAATTATCAGGCAACACCAAAAGGGACACCAGACATCCACCAATCCAATTGCTTCCATTTTCGCCTGGACCAGAGGTTTGGAACACCGTGGTAACCTGGACGGTACTCAAGATTTGGTGAAATTCGCACAAACTTTGGAGAAAGTATGCGTTGATACTGTAGAAAACGGTCACTTAACCAAAGATTTGGCTGCTTCAATCCACGGATTGGCTAATGTTAAAGAAGGAATGTACTTAAATACGCAAGACTTTTTGGATGCTATTGCAGAGCAGCTCAAAAAGACAGTAAGTTAAATGTCCTTTCTTTTTTACGTTTTTAGTTTCACCATAATTTTATTTTTTATAAACTTTTAGCATTCTAAATTAAATCCTGCATCTTATTATATTTGAAACAGTTTTTGTATATATATTTTTTTCTTCAAATATATAATTTTTTAACATGAGTGTTTTATTTATACAATCTGTCTAGAGATCAATATATCAAGTTATAATGCGTCTTTCTTTGCTTTAGATTTGCTAGTTTTATTAATATAAGTGCGATTTTACAATGAATAAAAATGGTTTGTCCAAATTTGGAGTTGCGGTGTGAGTTGTCGTAGAACATGAAAAAGACCCATGATAATTTAATTTTTTCAAAACGTAAGGATCTCAGATCGTCAAGGCAATTTCATTCATAAATAGAGCGAGTGACTGAACTGTTCTTTCTATAATATGGCTACTAACCATTGGCTAGAGAAGGTCCAGGCCGCGTACGTCTCCTATCAAATTAAATGGGTGGGGAATACTTTTGTCCCTTTCTTACTCGTTGCTTATAGGGGATTTCCGACACGGTGTCTTTAAGGGGTTATATACGTTTGTGCTCGGGAAAATTAATGGTTTTTATTGATTTTTTTAGGTAAGTAATAAAACATTAATCTGTAATACTTGAATTTTTTTAATAAAATTTGAAGTCTAACGTAAACAAACCATCTATTAAAGCATACGTTACACGCCTGCCATTAGGGCAAATTTTAAAACGATACACCACAGGGCCGGCTTTATCTATTTTGTATATTAATATTTATATTTTTAAATTAAATTTGGAAAAAAAGTAAGAATGCAAAGATATAATAATAAATGGTATAAACACTAATTTTAGTAATAAAATAAATAAAGAATATACAAGGTCGGTAGCCGGTACTCGGCATGAGGAATATCCACGAAGGCAGAGGGCACTTAAGGCGGGTCGTGGCCGTCAACACTTCGGTACTGAAGACAAGATTCAGTATCTCACAGGGGGGCAAACAAGTCTAAAGAGGTTACCAGGAACTGGAAACTGACTCGGACAGAGACGTTCAGAAATACACCAACAAGGACAGGTTCTAGCAGCGTAATAACACTTCTCCCCCATTCATTAATCCCAATTGAATGGGGTATTACTAAGGCCCAGGTTGAGGAGGATTCCGGATTGTACTTAGTTTTGGGTCGGTTCAATGTCCTCCAAAAACCAACTTTTACCCTCCTTGTCCCGCTCTCCACTAGCCTAAATTGGGCGTATGGCCCGACCCGGCGACAAAAATCCGGGAATGGCCTTAACCACGACCTCCTAGGGTAGATCTACCAGTCGGTGTAAAAACTTTGGATCTAACAAACACAGGAAATGCTGTGCAGTGGCGGGATACGAAGGAGAACGGAAAGGGGGTAAAATAACCCTGGGAGATTAGTGTAAGGTAATTTCGATGGGGCCTGCCATACGTCCCCATACTCATACTCATACAAAAAAATAGTAAAACGTTATTTGTGACTGATTATGTGGTAGATGTTTAGTAAGTACTTTTGTACCCTGTAATTTTTAGAAATGTTTTTTTAAAAAAAATCGCAGAATTTCAAATAAATTTAACAATGGTGAGGACATAAAGGCAGAATCGTGAAACACCCGTTTTGACTTATAAAATCGTTATTCTATATGCTAAACTGTACTAATTTTACAATTTAGATAGAACCACTAAAAACGTAGAGAATAACACAATTTAATTGCTATAATATTATTTCAAAATACATAAAAATTTATACTTTGGTTGAACAAATGTAACACTCGAAACGATGGAATGACCCTATAGGTATACAGTATACTGGGTTATAACCCGACGAAATGCATACTTATAAAACAATCTTTTTTCAATTGAAATAATATTTTTATCCTAAAAATATGACAGGGTTGAAGATATGACGTGGTTACGCCACTCTTGTGTGGTCCTTTAGATATTTATTTATTTATAAATGCAAACTAGGTATATAAAAGCATAACTGCATATTATAAATTAATTAAATTAAAAATATAAATGTAATAAAAGATAAATTTCTTATTTGTAATTAAATATCAATAAGACTTGCATAATTAATTAGCAATCTTTGTATTGGTATATTTTGCCAAGCCAATAATATTTAAAGAATTCTTATATCACAATCACAAACGATTTAATGTTATCACCAAAGTTCAATGTAATAAATAATAAAATACGTAATTGTATCGGTTTAAAAGTTAGTTAATTGTCGAAAGTCCCAATCGACTTTCAGGTCACTTCTTCTGAACGCAGTGGCAAAGTAAAAATGAGCAATTTAGTGTGTATCCAAGATTACGAGAATCATGCCTACAGTGTTTTGCCCAGAAACGCTTTGGATTACTACAGAAGTGGTGCTGGTCAGCAGGAGACTCTACTTGATAACCGAAGAGCTTTCTCTAGGTAAGTAGGTATTATAATTTAATTTGATTTGTGAATTGTGCTTATAGATTTATGGTTTTAAATTTAAAACATACCCAGTGAATTTTGTAGGTTTTATTCTCTTTAAAAAAATGTAAGAATTTTTCTGTTCTTATTATAAAATAGGAAAAGGTCCAATACAAATAATACCCTTTTTGTTTTTTGGTTATTTTTCGGTCATATCATATGATATATGACACCCCCTTTTTATTTTCTTAATAACCTTGCGCTCAATTACGTTTTTCTAAAATAAAAAGATATTTTAGTTTTGAGAAGGAGCTGTGTCCATTAAGGATGTCAGCTCAACACGTTGTTATTTTTGGTCAATTGTAAGCAAACGCGGTAGGTAGTACCTACTAGGTACCACTTAAAAAAAGCGTATACGCATAGATACCCAAGTGTTCGTGCAAAATAGTTTTTACACCGCCTTTACCCAGCTAGCACAAGTCGGTCTTAAGGACATCCTAGGGAAAGCCTTATAGGATATTGGGATATCCCAGCCTCCGGACGTCCTGTAAATGGCCTTAAGGTCCAGAAATCCCAAAAAGGACAGCCTGGATGTATCCTCTGAACGTCCCACAGGTTATTTTTGTTCTTTAGATGTGTTAGTCCTCAAGAAACCCTCTGCACTTAAAAATACTTGATAAACTAGCCATTATTTGTTACTAAGTAGATCGGTCCCACTCTAAACCTTGTTCAGCTGTGCCATCACATCCAACTAATATTTATAACCTATCGGTATATATAATTGTCAAGCGTGCGTAAGCAGCAGTGAGAGGTATTGCAACTATATTTGTTTATAACTTTAAGTAGTTTTGTTTTTAGTATTTTGTATAGCAATTATGTTTAATATTGGCAATTTTACCTATTTAGTAATTAAAATAAATATTTTTAATTATTTAATATTTTTATCCCATTCTGGTCCAAGGACATCCTTAAATGACATTTCCAGGATATCCCAAAAGGTTGACCTATAGACGTCCTCTGGACGTCCTTATAGGATCATCCCGTTCTGGCACATAAGGCTGGTCCAAGGACGTCCTGAGGACGTTTGTGTCTATCTTCAATATCGCTTAAGTTCTCCAGCGACCACAGATGGTGGGTGGTTTAAATCAACCCATTCTTGGGTATATTCTTATTTCTACAAATTAAACATAAAAAGTAAAAAATATATACTCATATCAGTGTAAGGAAAGTATGGCAGGCCCCATCGGCAACGCCTTACACTGATCTCCCAGGGTTATTTTACCCCCTTTCAGTTTTACTACGTACGTATCCCGCAACTGCACAGCATTACCTGTGTTTGGTGGATCCGAATTTTCACCCCGGTTGGTAAATCTCGCCTAGAAGGACAGGTCGTGGATGACAGTGGTTAAGGCCACTCCGGGCCGGGCCATACGCCCGATTTAGGCTAGTAGAGTGCGGGATAAGGAGAGAAAACATTTTGGTTTTTAGGTGGACTGACCCAAAACTAAGTACAATCCGGAATCCTCAACCCATGGGTTGCATTCATTTGGGGTTCATGAATGAGGTTTCGTTGGTGAGTACGCTCCTAGAACCTATCTTTGTTGGTCTTGTAGTCTGCTGAAATTCGGAAACTGTTGTGAGCAATTGTTTGCCCCACTGTGCGAAAGCCGTTTCTTCAGTGTAGCTGTTTTCAGTAATGATTGATTATTGTAAGGTTTATGTGGCGAATTTGCGTGTTAGGTCCACTCTTGGTTAGACTAGTTTGTTCTTTACATAAGGTGAATCATATTGGCCTGGGGTTAGATCCAGGTATGCTGTCACTTATCACTTAATTACTTCCGTGTCCGTATGGTCTTTATTCACTATATTCACTTGTTGAGGGTTGCTTTTTAATGCACTAATTTCGATTAACAACAGGTACACTGATTTTTCTTGTCAAGGTAGTAAATCTTTGCCCTAATTTCGCAGAGTATTTTTCTTAAACTACACACGGTGTACCTGAACGAAGTTTTTTTTTATTACTTTTAATGTTTAATTTAAGATTACCGATACAGACGGGTAGACGAGCAGACGTGCTTTTGAACGAATGCGATCGCTCTTAAGTTTAGGTACCTAATAATAAGTCTGAACGAAGTTTATGTCACATAAAAATGCCGCCAAAAACTGATTGCAATTTCTTGTTCGGGACCCTTTGGTGACTTAAAAATGATATTTACCAAAATCCTAGCTGATCCTCTTTTCGAAATTTTTTGAAAATTTAGGATTTTTTTTTAAATTTTTGTTTATTTCAAAGTCTACCTTTGACAGAGTACACATTTGTACACCGATTTTTATAAAATTAGAGTATATTATTGAGGAGACTTAAAGAATACTTTTTAATACTGTTCACATCATTTGATATATACAGGGTGAGCCAAAAATCGCTTATTTTTAACAAAGCAAAAGCTTAAATTCATGATTTTGGCATAACACGCAAAAAAGATTTATCCCCATTTTTTTAGATATCTCCTTAACAAAATACTCCAATATTATTAAATTTGGTGTACAAATGTGTACTCTATCAAAGGTAAACTTTACCATAAACAAAAATTTAAAAAAAAATCATGAATTTTCAAAAAATTTCGAAAAGAGGAGCAGCTAGGATTTTGGTAATATCATTTTTAAGTCACCAAAGGGTCCCGGACAAGAAACTGCAATCATTTTTTGGCGGCATTTTTATGTGACATAAACTTCGTTCAGACTTATTATTAGGTACCTACACTTAAGAGCGATCGCATTCGTTCGAAAGCACGTCTGCTCGTCTACCCGTCTGTATCGGTAATATTAAATTAAACATAAAAAGTAATAAAAAAAATAGGTACCTAATGCACTTGATTTCTGCAAATTTCGCCCGTTACAAAATATTTGTGCCAAAGCCAATTTCAAAGTATCAAAATACATATTATGATTATAATAGATTAAAATGTTTATTTTAAATGTGCGAAATATTTATTTATTCAGAACAACATAAATCAAAATGTTTTATCTTTTTAAAATATTTATCGATAAAGTTGGGGTAGCGTTTATATTTTGACCTTGATAGTGAATTAATTTACTTAAAAATGCGTAACATTTCGATAAAATACTACTTTAGACTAATCTTTACACATATGTGTACTTACTATAATATAGATAGATAAGTAAATGCCGCACAACCTTTAAATTGCAGACATTTATTTTTAATACTTAGGGCCGGTTTATCAATGTCCAGTTAAAGTTGCAGTTAGTTATCTGGCAGATATTCTCCATGGATACCATTGTTCTCACAACGATCGATATGAAATTTAACTGTCAGATAGACTAATTATAACTAAACCAGATATTGATAAACCGGTCCTTAGTAGCCACCTGTTATATGCAAAGATCATTTAAAGATGGCTATTAAGACATAAGCATGAGAATCATGATTTCAAATGAGTGTGAGTGTCTTGATAACCCATTAAATGGAAGTTGCATACACTATTTTTCCAACGACTATCTGATTTTACAGGAAATAATAAAATCTCTTATTCTACTTCAAAACTCAGTGCCCTCGTGGCGTCTAAGGCCATTGCCTTGCCTACCTAATGGGTAATATGGCCCTGGGGTTGCCTAAAAAGGTCTAAAGTGTGTTACTGCTTGAACTAAAATCAATTTTGAAGTCGAGTTTTCCAAAAATTCCTTCCAGACCTCGGGTGTACTGGGGTACTATTCCTTTCGAACAGATTTTAACAGACCACTGGGCGGTTAGATAGCACAAAGAAGTACTAAAAACGTCCTGAGTATATCTTGTATCAGACATTAGTAAGTTCCGAGTACGTCCGAATCAGATCCTGAACCTTAAGGGGAATTCCCCAGGACGTTCCAGGGACATCCGATGTTACCAAATCCTCGGTCCCCAGAACGTCCTGTGGAAGACATCCTCTGGCCATCCTGAAATGCTTTATTGGGGACTAATGGACAAGCTTTACAGAATTGAAGAGTGGTATTCCCAAAAGCCCAGACAGCAATATGACGTCTTAATTAAGTCTTATTTTATTAATTTGTTAAATGGATTTTATTAAAATCATTTTAATAATTTGCTCGTATTCGTTTGTTTTAGGAATTGCGATTACTTCGTCTCACTTTTGTTTAAATTTAAGCGTGCTCTTCACCGGCACCGATAGGCGGTCTGTTTCCCTTTTTTGGAGCTCGTCATTATCGGGTAGCCGTTTACCTAGGTCTAAGACCGTTTGGTATGAAGCACGCTCATGATACAACATTGTATCATGAAGCACGCTCTAAATTCTACTTCGCCGCTTCTTATATCAAACACAAGCAGTTACAGCGGTGAGAAAAAAAAATCGCATTAAAATGTCATAAATGTGACGTCTCCATGTTGACGTCTTAAAGAGTTAACTAATTAATAATATGATTTCAGTAAGAAGTAAGAAAAGAGAATACTGTAAGATATCACATAAGTAAAATCTTATTTATCCCTTGGTAGCTTCTAATTTTGATTCCAATAAGAGGTCAGAAAAAAAGATACTTTAAGATGTTAAAAAATTTACTTCTTTTTTATGAATTCATCAAGACCTAAAAATGATTTCTCTAAGATGTCATATTGTGACCTCAGTAAGATGTTTTTCAACAGACTTCGTACAGAAATCTTTTTTAATTGGATGGTGTCTGGGGGGTCTAAGTTACAAAAATAAAATTGTTATTGTTATCAATGAAAAACAAATATTTTGCACATGTAAATTTTGAAATGTCTGAAATACGTTTGGAATTGCATATTCCGCTCTCCTGAAACCGTCAAACTCGCCTTCGAGCGGATATGCTGTTACATAATATAGGTACTATTAAGTCATTCTGCATGACACAAACTATTTTTAAATGATAATATATTATTTAACCAACTTGGCACTTAGACCCTTTGGAAATACAATGCTTCAATTACGTCCTTGGGACGTACCCAGTATATCCGCTATAATTTTCCCAAATAAGTAAGAGACTGG